AACACGAAAAAAAACCTCCACCTCAGTAGGGGAATCTAATGGCTGGCGTGGGGGGAGGGAGTGGGAGGGGGCAGTGAGGGGGCACGGGCGTGTTGGGGGCAGGTGCACACAGGCGGCGGGTGAGCGCTCTCAAAATATGTCGTGTAAATGACTGGGAAATCAGTTAACACTGGAGAAAAAACAAAGACGCTCCCACAGATGGCAGGAAAGTCCATTCCGATTCCATGTCGGTGCATTTTCTCCTGCCAGCAGGCAGGGCAGGAAAAGCAGAATCATCTCTGCAAGGATGAAAGATGTGGAAGGCTCTAGAAAGATCCTGGGAGACGGGGCAGCCAGGACACCCCACAGCCCGGGAGTGCAGGGCTTCTGCAGACAGGCTGGGCGGGGGTGGGGGTGGGGGCGGGGCAAACCAAGATGAGCCCTGCACCCCGATGGTAATCTCTCCCCACATACAGGACACCAGAACCCCTTCCTCTGGGCCCTAACACAGGACAAACAGGAGCCTCCATGTTGGCCCCAGGGGGCCCTTGACTGTGAGGTGTGAGAGTCCAGAAAGGGCAGACTGCTGGACACTCACGACTGACCCGATTCCTGAGGAGGTTAATTTGGCAACAGCAACCAGAATTTAAGATGCGCTTACTCAGGTGAGCACTGGCAGGTGTTTCCACACACAGACAGCGCCAAGTAAGGTCCGCACCGAGCACACCCGGCAGCCGAGCGTGACGGCAGACTCCCCGCTCCCAGCTGGCCCCCAGAGAGGGGTGGCGCGGCCCTCGGCGACCACTCAGGGGGAGTCCGTTTAGCAGCTATGGGTAGTCAGGATGCTCCGTGCATCAGGTGGACAGCACCCCAAGATGTGCTGCATGGCAAAGCACAAAGCGGCAAAGGAAGGCGGTGGGGTGGCGGTGGGGGAGCACCTGTGTGCAGCCTAGGGGGACCAGAGCAGGAAGGGGGGCCCCTGCAGAGCAGCAGGGCCAGGGGGCCAGTAGGCGCCTCCCGCTGCGGTGGCTGGGGCCCGGGGCATTGGCACAGCCACTTACCTTAAAAGAGCCCATAGGCCAATTTTCTGCTAGATTAGCACCAAGTTGAGATCCCAAGACAGCTTAGGAGGCGCCAGCCACCAAGGCCGTTCACCCCGCAACTGTCTGCACATCAGAAGCCGAAGCCCCAGGCTGCTCTCAGCAGCGAGGAGTCCTCACAGACCGCAGGCCTCAGAGGCAGGGCTGGCAGCGAGGGTTTCAGCACTGGCATTGGCCCCGGGCGGACGCCCACGGGAAGTATCCGCGTGTGCCAGCCACGTCCAGCCCAGCGTCCTGAGGACGGGCTCCCAGCGCCCGGCACGTGGCACCTGCTCACTAAACGGCCCAAGGACGAATACATGAATGACCGGAGCTGGGCTTCCCGGGCTGCTGCCAGCAGGCCTGGCCTGGGGGCCCCGTGCACCTCAGCGACCCCACAAGGGCGCGCCGGGCGGGGAGCACTTCCTGCGCCCGTCTTCCCCTCCCGCTGTGCGCACAGTGGCGGCTCCTCCCGACCCGCAGTGTCCCCACCACAGCCTCCGAGTGGCCTCCGCCGTACTGACCCCTGTTCCAGCTCAGCCCCGCGGCGCCGGCCACCCGGCCTCTCGCAGGAGCTCAGCAGGGCTGCACTTCCCAGGCTGGCCGGAGAGACGTGGGGGCAGATCACACAGAACCAGGGTCCACCCACAGGTCCCTAAGCTGACCAGCTCCAGCCCCGCCCCCACGGAAAGAAGGTGGGCGAAACCAACAAACACCCGACTTGGTGCTGAGGGGGCGGCCGCAGGGTCAGCGCGCCCCTGGGGCCGGGGAGGGCGGCGGGCACGGGGCTCCTGCTGGACACCACGGCACGGTCCTTGTTTCTCCCTAGAAACAGCCTCTCCCTCCTTTCGCTTGAAAGTCAAGCGTCTTGGGCTAATGTGTTTTCAGACACATGATTGGCAGAAGTACTTCCCTTTGTTTTCCTCAAGTCTACAGAAAATCGAAAGTTCGAGCACAGGGTGAGCTACAGTAGTTGGCGTGGCGTCCGCGTGGGGGAACCAGAGGGAGAAGTGGGGTGCGGCCGACCGAGGGCCTCCGCCGGGAGCAGGACCGAGGTGCCACACTCGCCTCGGTTTCTTTAATTAATTGAAATTACTTTTATCGATAAGGAAGAATTCGGTTTGCCGTTGAAAGTCGCTACTTTTGAGCCCCTGTGTGGACCGGATGGGTCAGCTCAGGGCCGGGCTGACCCAGCCCTGCGCTAACTCAGGCAGGTCAGAGACCCGGCCCCGCCCAGCCGCCACCCCGCCCGCACAGCAGACACGGCCGGCCGGCCGCACCGCGTGGGCACGCCGGGGACGCAGCAAAGGGCAGGAGCTCTGGTGGGGGCCAGCAGCGCTCCGTGTCTGGGGGGGTCTGCGCCCCCCCAGGACACCCTGACATCTTAAAGCAGTTTCTGGAGGCGCCCCTGGGACACTTCTCCCCCGACCCCAAGAGGAAGCTCGTACCAACAAGTAAAGCACGAAAAGCTGGTTGAACAGAAACACAGGGCACTAGAAACAGCGATCACACCTGCCCCCCCTCAGAGTGTCCCTCCAGGGGCTCCTTGACCCCGGGAGACCAGGCCTGGCCCCGGACCTCGCCCGCGGCTCCCCTTTCTACCTACGGCCCTTCCATTCCTCGCAAACCGGTTCCCCACCCCAGGGCCTCTGCGCCTTCTGTTTTCCCTGGGATCTCTTTCTCCTCCTTAGTCGGGTCAACGCCCACTCGTGCTCTAAGCTCAGGCTACGACAGTCTCTGGGACGCCCTCCATGACCAGAGGGTCCCTCTAGCGTGTCACCTCATGCCGTGGACTCCGGCCCCATCACAGTCTAGCAGTGCTAGTGTTATCCAGTTATCTGAAGTGCTCTGAGGGGCCTGTGTGTGTCACTTCCTGCTGCACCTGGCACATGGTAGGCGCTGGTGGGGGGAGAGGGGGCATGAGGTCGACCCCAGGACACCCGAGGACTGCAGTGGGCTGGTCTGAGATGCCCACTGCTCCATGAAAAGCCAAAAGCGGGAGGGACCCACAGCCGGGCCACTCCCTGTCCAGCTAACGCACCTGGCTGCAAACCGCTTCAGCTCACTGCCTGTTAACTAAGTAGTGGCTGCCACAGCCTGCCGTGGCGGCTTCTGCTTCTTTGGGGAAATAAACTCCAGCAACCGCTCGAAGTGAGGTTTATTGCCGTGCGGAGCTGGAGGGACCTGGACTCTTCATTACGCTCTTTACAAATGAGCGCAAGCCAAGCTGGAGTCGGAGTTAGAGAGCCCCCGAGTGAGAAAATGAAGTTAACACGCAGTTTCTCTCGAAGGCTGTCCTAACAGAGACAAAATGAAGCAGAGGGCTAACCCCGGGCACCACGGCATGGCGCTGCTCTCGGGGAGAACAAGCCGCGGCCCGCTGCTCAAAGCGGGAAACCGCGGGCACGCTCATGCCCTGCACACACCCCAGGATGCCCCTGTCCTGTGTTCTCGGCTGCAAAGCCCACAGAACGTCCCCCCGCCCCAGCCCAGAACGCCACGGCCTGGCCCATGCGCAGGGATTATATTTCAGTGTGGGTCACAAGGAAGCCAGGAGGATGGAGAGGGGGGTACTCTGCGCACCGAAGCCACTGGCCTCACAGGGCTGAGGAAACCTCAAGCAAGCGTGGCCTGGGCGTGGCCAGCCCAGACTGAGATGACTTCAGTGGTCAAAGCTGGACTTTGAGAATTTAGGGCAAAGAAAAAGATGCAAACGCTCGTTACATGCTGGTATATTGATTACAGGTTACTGCGACACTTTGCAGATGGAAACTAACCTCACCTTTCCCTTTTCATGTTCCCTACAACATTTAACCGTGGCGCTCACATCTGTGGCTCGCAGGGTACCCGTGGGGCCAGCTCGCCGCGGGGCATTCTGGCACGGGACTGTGGCCAGTCGTTCACATGGCAGAGGCAGCCCTGGGAAGTGCGCAGGGCAGTGGTTTTCCGGACACGCGCGAAGTTCGGTGACCGCCACCGATTCCTGAGCGTTTTCACAGCCTCAAAAGCGCCTCGGCCTTGCCACGTGGCTCCCACTTGTCTGGGTGGTTCCAGTACAGAAGTTGCAGAAAGGCCCCAGCGGGGCTGGGTGCGCGGCAGGGCGGTTATGGACAGATGCGCCCCTGGGCGGTTATGGACAGATGCGCCCCTGCGCGCATAATGCATTTTGAGCAGTTCTGGAGGGCGGAGCAGCCTAAACCGTCAAGTAGCGACCACGCAGGGGTCCGGGCCGGCATCAGA